TCCTAACGCCGTCACTGACGTCAGAATACTTAGTCGGTGGATTCGGCTACTCTTCAGCAGAGAGTTCCCCTTTGAGCAGTTTTTGGTACTCTGGGATACTATCTTTGCTGTCGATCCAACCCTGGAACTCATCGATCTCATTTGTGTTGCTATGCTGATTAGAATTCGGTGGGATTGTAAGTTGCTTGGGCGAAAGACAGTATGCTCCCTGGCTAACGCCTTTCTTAGTATTAGAGGCCGATTATTCTGTTTGCCTTCAACTACTTCTCAAATACCCTCCTCCATCAGGAGCTCACGGTCCTCATACATTCGTTGATGATGCTCTGTACCTGAGGGACCATCTTTCACCATCTGGAGGATCATCACTGGTTATGAAATATACTGGAAGGATGCCGACATTATCTTCTCCACCACAGACCTCGCGAGCAGGCACTCCGAGCTTTCGTGGTTTCAACTCTTTTAAGCACAGAGGACTAGGCCCAAGGCCACAAATATCATCCCCATCCCGCTTCCTTCAACAACAGGGTGGCATGGAGGCTTTGTTTCAGGGAGCTGCCAAAGGAGCCAAAGGAGTTTACGAAAGAGGCGAAAAGCTGGGTATCAACCAAGCCGTACGAGATGCTATGGGAGAGATCAAGCGAAATCTCAACGAGGCCAGATCTGCACCTAGATCTCCGCAACCCCCGGTCAACAATCAAGACTCAGCCCAGAGCCTGGTAGCATTGAAGAGGCGGAACCAGCAACTTGCCGCGATGCTTGATGAGACGGTCGATAACCTCAAAGCTATATCTGCCTCGAATCTAGACGACAAGGCTAAAAGCCTGGAGCTCATCGAGATTGCGGCGGCCAAGGTGCAGTTTGTCAAGATTTACTTGGACGATTCTTCTATGGAGGTCCCGGTGTTGCAATCTCCACCACCCGAGGACAGCCCACAAGAAGTGACTGTAGCTGAAACAACTATCGTTCAGCCTGAGCCTGTGTCAGTGGCATCTGCAGAGGTCGACATATCGGCTCTTCAGATATCCGAATCAAAGAAATCCTCTGAGAGCGAGTCAGCACAAACCCCTAGCTCTGATCGTATGGAAATAGTACCATGCGACGATGACAAATCTGCAAACTCATTGGCTCCGTCACGGCCAGCTCCCGTCCCTACTCGTTCAACACTGGCGCAATCCTCTTTCTCCTGGATGCTGGAGCCAGACGAGTCGGGGTCCTCAAAAGCGTCTCCAGCGTCCAGCAAGTCACCACCGCCCCAGCATAAGAAAAAGATGTCGAACAGCGCAAGTCGTGAGAAGAATGCCTTCCTATTCGGCGAAGTCACTGAGAGTCGAAACCCCTTGAACTCAGATGAGATATTTGGCTTGGAGCCTCTGAAGAAACTCAAGAGCACCGCAGATGAAGAGTAGATAAGAGAGTAGATTAGGCCTAGACGCATCCGCATAGGGCAAGGTCGCCCTTTAATATAATGGAATGGCATATTGACCTAATGAGAATATGCATTGGTACTTTTCGAACTCTTCAATGTGACATCCCACAATATCTTTGCCAGTGACCAAAAAATCCAGCTTGAACTTTAGATACCGAGAGCAAACAGCCACTGTTCAACAAGAAACCTGGTGTTCTGGGTGTGACTAGAGAACAGGTGACGGATCACTGCTGCTGATTGTGAGAAACAAGAACATTCTCAGGATGTCCCTGGACTTGCTGCTGCGATTATAAAACTCTCTTTTTATTCTCAACTCATCATCCTTTCCCTCTAAGCCCTGTTGTGTACTTAGCTCTGCAAGATAATTGCGAAGAGATACGACAACGGATTCCTTCATCGAACAAATCATACATAGCAGGGTCCTTTCGAAAGGAGACCGAGGTAGTTTCGTAGAAGTTGACATGGCTTCCATAACCTTCCAAGTGGAACTTGGATTTCTTCTTGCAGTTTGCCACAACCCTGCTGACGGAGTTGATATTGGGCATGGCGAGTACCCCAATCATCCATGCAGACCACTACCTTTCCCCCCTACCGAATATGCCAGCCTTCCAGAGAATGCAAAAGAGTATTGCTATCGATCTCGAGAGCATCTTCTTCGAGCACAATGGGCTATCGATCATTTAGAGATGGCGCTACATGCCAGTAATCTCACGACGGCAAACCCTCGGAGAGGCTTAAAGGTCAAGAATAAACTCGAGTCCTGGACAGTGGAATACGATGGAATGATCAACGAAGATCAATGCAAAGAGTATGAATGGGTCGGTATGAGGTTGAAATCTCCCCTTTTCCGACCTGAGACCTGTATTCCAGGAACAGACTCAAAGACAGTCATGGACATCATGACCAAGGGCTTCCTCGCTGTTCCCAATGCAGAGACACGCCTGGTGGTCAAAGTGTTTATACCGAAGCTTCTCGTCAGTCTGGACTCGATGAAGGCCATTGTGTCCATGCTTTGGCTGGTAGACCCGTTGTTGAGTGATATCCATCCTGTTCACTGTGGACCTAACTCACTCTATTCACTAGGGCTACAGTATACTAATCTTGCTAGGGACGATGCCATTGATCTCCAGGCTGAGATGCTGTCCGCAGTCCAGGTTGAGGATCCTTGGAACAATCGCCTCTCCTCTGACCGGAAGCCCCTGGAGCTTCTACCGCATCCAGGAGATCTGAGGGATACGAAGTATCGCCATAGGACCCGCGGAATTTTGGATGCTACATCCGTCCAGGATTTAATGTATCTAATGGATTTGGCAATTTATGGCGAGGCGGGACGCTGCCCCAATGCGAGCCCTGCTTATTGTTTCCTGGAGAACAAGACGACTGTTGTTATCGAATTCAGACAACACTGTGGAACACTCGATATGCTGGAGACATCTCTCTGGGCTATTTTATGCGTCAGACTCACTCAACACTGCCTCAACAAATCTGGTACCTTCTTCTGCGAATCATATCCCAATCTGAGGCATTGCTCTACGATTCACGACTTTCTTAAAGAGCAAGGCCTGGGGGAGTTGCCCAAATGTATTCAGCCACAACCAAAACATCTTAAAGTGTCAGATCTGAGATATTGGCATCCTATCGCAAGTGCTGCGCCCCCTAAGGAGCTCCGTGCGATTCCAATTTTGTCTTCGAGACAACCATTTGCATCGCATTTCCAAAAGTCTAGTCTCCCAACCGACAGAAGAGAAGACTTACAAAAATACGCAAGGAAAGAAAGCTACTATTTTGGTATCGAGCTCGAATTGTACATGCCAGTTTTGCTACCGCATGAAGGCCGGCCTGATCCTTATCCCAACGATGGCAGGGAACTCAGCCGTGCCGAGCGATTCCCCAACAGAGTTGAGTTAATGAAAGAAACCATCAGTTCTATAGGGCCGTTGACTCTGGTGTGGGATGAGCATTTCGACCACAAGTCCTGGGAGAGCAAGCTCCTCAGTCATGGGATGGTGCCTGTTGACGATATCGACCCTCAATATCAGACGTGGACCATTGGAACCGATGTATCGCTACGCCGAATGTCTGATTGGGGAGGGTACAAGCAGCTGAATGGTTTGGAGATCATCAGTCGCGTTCTCAGAGCTACGCCCCAGTGCTGGGAGGAGGTACTGAATATGGTCTCCATCCTGCGAAACAACTTCAGGTTGACAGTAGGCAAATCATGTGGCTTCCACATCCATGTTAGCAAAGGCACTGGGCCCATGCTGTTACACCTCGTGCGTAAGGTTTCTGTCCTCATGTATTTAGCAGAGAACATTGTTTACCGCCTTTGTTGTCCTGGAAGAAGGAAGTCAAGATACGCACCGAGTCTAGCATCATTACTTGAACCTCTATGTACCGATCAGTGGTCGGAAATGGATGTTCCAGCTGACTTTGAACAGTACATTCCCATCCACAAAGTCGTCGACCGCCGTACCTTGGGGATTCTGAAGAAGCTCTGGACGACCGAAACTCTGCAACTGCTCAAGTTGCTTATAAATCCCAGCATGGGCTCAAAGTCTTGCTTAGGTTTTTCCAAGTGCCACTCCTTTGATGAGTTTGGTGAAGGCTCTGAAGATGAGTGTAAAGGGACCGTTGAGTTTCGCTACCTCGAAGGCACTCTGGATCCTGAGCTGATTCTTCGGTGGAGTCAGTTAATGGTTTCTCTATTCCAGTTTGCTGATCTAGCTTCACCACAGGCATGGCAAAATTTTGTACCTGCAGTACTGCAGTGTCCAGCATTGGGTAGGATGGATCCGAACGTGCTGAGAGTCTTCTTGTTATTCTTAGGAAAGGGCGATGATTATGACTTTTGGAACAACCGGATGCAAATGATGACGAATTTGCCTCTCGATGCGCAACAACTGGCTCGCAGGCCAGTTGATAACAATGAGATTCTGCCTCCCCTCGATGATGAGTACATTGATACATTACGAGAAGAGCTGTGTACTAGAGAGATGAAATTGCCTTGCACGATCCAGAAAGCGGCGACCCTCAACGAATCTTCAACCGATCCAGACGATCTTGCAAACCTCCTTTCCGAAAAGGCTAGTTTTTTTAATGCTTGAATTGGGGAGGCTCTTGAGACTACTTCTGGACAGATGTTTTGACAGGCTGGAGAGCAAGATTGGGCCTGCAAATACACTAGAAGAAGGGGTAAGAATGGTATGAATACTTATTTGCTTCGTTTCCCTAGCCTCAGTCGTAGATGGGCGAAAAAAGAACTGTAAAGATGCGACAAGGACTGAGAGACAGAAAAAGGACATAAACCAGGCAGGGAGATTGGAGGGCTTGTTTGCAAATTTCTCATTTTTATTCCATGTGGCGTTTTATGTGATGTGAGGCAATGTTTTGTCGTTTTGAGACAGGCAGAGTACCTGCTAGACAGTTGAAGGGCAAAGAGAAAACTCACTCACTTGAAGAAAGATGTAGATGTGTGATCGACAGCTGGGGCGTGGCTCATCTTCTACTCAATGACAGTGCTTTGCTCAAACGTTTTGTAGTAGTATTAATACTGGGTATCATTTCCTCACAAATCCTATGCAGGAGACGTATGCTCTCTCTCGATAATATCCTCGCGCGCCAGTGGTCGAGTTCCATCGTTAAGAACCATCGCTTCTCGATGTTGCCGTCGTAGTCTTTGCTCTTCGGCTGAATGTTCTCTGGTTCGTGTCACTTGCTGTTCGACAAGCGGTAAGTTTCCCGCCTCCTCTTCGATCTCCATAATCAGGTCTGGGAGTTCACGAATTCTCCTTCTGGAATTCTCCTTGTCCATGAGCCCTGCCTTTTCCAGAGCCCTGAGGCCTCGTCTTGACTCCTTGATTCGATCGACAATCTCCACAATCCTATTTGTCTTGAGTGCCATATAATCCCTGAAGCTTCGGCGTCTTTCTTCCGGAGTATCGCCCCATTCCTGCTTCGCCAACCACTTCTCGACAAAGCGTGCCTTAACTAGCATGCTGGCACCGTACTTATTGGCGAGCTCCAGGATGAACATTAAGCAGAACCTCTCGGCCATGTCGCGAAGGTAATACTCATCCCAATGGCTATCAGTGAGACTCGGTCGCTCGGTGTCGTCCAGGCTCAGCTCCAGAGAACGGACGAGAGCTGAGTAGGCTTTGGGATTGTTCAACTTTGAAAGTCCGTCCAGCCCTGAAGTGTCAGTTGTATCTCATGATTTAATCTGCAAAACTCACCAATAGTCTGTCCAGTGAGCAGGGCTAAAGCCCGAAGACACCGCATCCTCTCATCGTAATCTGGTCGAGTGATGCCGAATAACAGTATGTGAGTTGTCTCGGAATCGTTCACGGCCCGATCACAAAGGATCTTAATCGCGACTTCTCGTATAGAATAATTCGGGTGATCCAATAGCTTCTCAAGCGTTTCGAGTTCCAACGAGTCTTCCGTATCTTGAGTGATGTATTGTGTCTTTGGCTGTGGTGGCGGAATTTCGTTGTCGTCTCTTATGATGGTGAGGGCAGTGAAGACAGTACTCACTACACTAAAGGTGGCAAAGCCTAAGGTGACAAGAACAACCCTCTCATCACGAGCAAAGCTTAGGAGGCTATCAGCCCATCCCATCTTGGTTGAGTCTATTGATTGAGCTCATGCTTCACTCAAGTATTGGTAAATGAGTTCTTCATGGCTGTCCAAGTCATCCTGAGGGAAAGGATTCTGCCATAGCTCACCGCCGTATCATGTTCAAATAAGGTTAGACTACCTACGCGTAGCTTCGCATGGAGGCCCACATGGAGCTTGATAACGATAAGACTTTTTTTCCATCGCAAAAAAACTGAAAGTTGCTGCTACCAGTGCAGCTTTCGCATCAGCAGCATTATCAGTCGCAATGGCCGGCTCCCAGCTCAAACGCCTCAAGGCGTCCCTCAAAGAGCAAGGAATTGTCGGCCCTCAGCAATCGAAGAAGCAAAAACGACGCAATGCTCAGGATGAACGCTCTCGAAATGACAAACGACTTCAGCGCGGAGTGGTCTTGGAGGGGATTCGCGAGCAATTCAATCCTTTCGATCTTAAGCATGCCAAGGGCCCAAAATTCGAAGTTACGAGTAACCGGCCTATGTTGACTGCTGGCAGTATCAAGGGTCGTCCCGGTCAGGCAAAAGCAGCCAGCGAGGAGAGGGTAAGTTCCAACATTCTGTTCGCGAGGCGCCATCAGGGTAGTGGAGGTGACACAATCTGCTCACATCACTATTGAAATCCAAGCCGACCTCGATATAATCATAAACCAGGTTTTCATGAAGAATCAACTAACTTCTATAAAGCGCCGGCAAACCCTTCTGGTCGAGATGCAACGCCGCAACAAGGTTGGTGGAATTCTCGATCGTCGATTCGGTGAAAACGATCCCACAATGGCCCCCGAAGATAAGATGCTTGAGCGATTTGCCCGAGAGAAGCAGAGAAGTCACAAGAAGAACTCAATGTTTGACTTGGAAGACGACGATGCTTCAGAAGGTTTGACCCACATGGGCAAGTCTCTTTCCTTTGACGATATGGACGATTTCAAAGAAGATGATCTCGAGGAGGACTACGAAAGTGATGGCTCGGTGCGTGAACAGCAGAGATTGAAGCGTATTCGTGCAATAGCAGCCCAAGGTAGTGATGGCGAGGACGATGAACCGGAACGAAAAAAGACGAAGAAGGAGGTGATGGAGGAGGTCATCGCCAAGTCCAAACACTACAAGTACGAACGACAAGCTGCAAAGGAGGAGGATGAAGAGCTCCGAGAGAAACTTGACAAGGAGTTGCAAAACATTCAGTACATGTTGCACCACAGCCGGCCAGGCGCCAAGCCTCAGAACGAGGGGGCTGCAAAACCCACCATCGCTGGAGTCGACCGAGACGCTTTCGAGAAGAACTTTGATCTTCAAGTAAAGAAATTGGCTCAGGACAAGAGGGCACAGCCTGCCGACCGCACCAAGACTGAGGACGAGAAGGCTGAAGAAGAGTCTACAAGACTCAAGGAGCTCGAAGACAAGCGCCAGAAGCGCATGAGGGGAGAGTCAGTCAGTGACAGCGAGGATGAAGAAGTCGACAACAAAGGCAAGAAGCCTGATCTTGATGCTATGGACCTGGACGATGAGGAAGACTTTGGCTTGGGCAGCGGTATCCGAGCTCGTCCTACTGCTACTGAGCTTGGCTTTGACGATGAGGATGATTTCGTGATCGACGATGATCTCGTGGCTAGCGGCTCGGACCTGGAACTCGACAGTGAGGGTGAATCAGACATGGAGGATGTGTCTGATGAGGAAGCTGAGGAAGAGGAGGATGACTTTACAAAAGGCTTGCTTAATGAGGAAGAGAGCCGAAATCCTGTTTTCGATGCCGACTCGACTACAAAAGCCCCGGCGATTCAGAAGGGCGACGAGCAAGGCCTCCCCTACACCTTTGAATGCCCTCAGTCTTGCGACGAATTGCGAGTCATTCTGGCACCATACCCAGCCAAGACCTTCCCTACAATTGTCCAGAGGATTCGTGCCCTCTATCATCCCAAGCTCAGCAGTATGAACAAGGAGAAGCTTGGCAACTTTGCAAGTGCTTTAGTTGACTACATCAGTCTGCCCTGGGACCCTGCCACTTCTGCCCCTTTTACGGTGCTCGAAAGCATTGTCCGACACATCCACTCTCTGGCAAAGATGTTCCCTATCGAGATTAGTAAGCAGTTCCGCAAGAATCTTGAGGAGATAGGAGAGTCTCGACCGTTGGCACTAGGAACCGGAGACTTGGTTTTGCTTTCTGCCGTTGGAACCATCTTCCCTACTTCCGATCACTTCCACCAAGTCGTCACTCCTGCTGTGCTGACCATCACTCGATACCTTGGCCAAAGAGTACCACAAAACCTGGCACATTATGCTATTGGGACATATCTCTGTATTCTTGCTGTCAGCTACCAGAAACTTGCTAAGCGCTACGTGCCCGAAGTTGTTAACTTCTCTCTGAATACGCTCTTGGCCCTGGCCCCTGTTGCCACTTCCAAGAAGGTCGGGGATTTTCCTCTTCACATCGCTCCTGAGGGCATCCGCATAGGAGCTGCGACTAAATCAGAGTCACGGAGACTCAACTTCTCAGACTGCATCGAGCAAGAGGCCAAAAAGACAGAAACGATAGCCCGCAAGGTCGCTATTCTCGATACCACAGCACAGGTTATAGAAGCTGCAGCAGATACGTGGACTGGGAAGAGTGCATTCCTCGAGACCTTTCGACAGGCTGCGAGCGTACTCAAACACCTCGGCAGCAAAACCTGCAGGTCACAATTACCTACTACTCTCAATGAAAGAATTGAGAAGTTGCAACTCAAATTCGACCGCATGCTTAAGGTTGCGCAACTATCGCGCCGCAATGTTGAGCTGCATCATCATCGGCCCCTGGCAATCAAAACCTACGTACCCAAGTTCGAGGAGACATTCGATCCTGATAAGCACTACGACCCCGACCGAGAGCGAGCAGAGTTGGCCAAGCTCAAGAAGGAGCACAAGAAGGAACGCAAGGGTGCCCTTCGGGAGCTGCGCAAGGACGCCAACTTCATGGCGCGCGAGAAGTTACGGATCAAGAAGGCAAAGGACGAGGCGTACGAGAAGAAGTACAAGCGCCTTGTTGCCGAGATTCAAAGCGAGGAGGGTCGCGAGGCGAATGCATACGAGCGAGAGAAGTCTGCGAGGAAGAGGGCCAAGAACAGGTAAATGGATTCAATGGCGTAGGTACAGGCTCAGGATACCAATATATGTTTTCGTATGTCCATTTAATGTGTGCTGTTAGAAAGCGTGTAAACAAATCATTTGTAGAGAGTCCTCAGGCTCTGAAGGGGGACTACTTCAAAATGGGTCAGACTTCACAATACGACAAAGGTCGTACCAGCATGGACACTAAGTAAACCGATCAATGGATGACCCGAGAAGTCAATATCTATTGTTTTTGATAGTATCTAAACCTGACGGATACTTTCCAGCTCCAGGTAGCGGTAGCAGGGTAGATAGAGATCAACAATTAGAGACGCCTACCTGAAATGGATGGCTTGTGGGGGACCTCTACCCTTGATAACAAAAACAATTCATTTAGAAGCCTGTTTAACACATATTGGAGTTCCCCAAAACTTTTTACGAATTCTATGACATAGAGGTCTGAAGTTTTGCTCTCTTGGACGCCTTTGAGCACTAATAAATTAGTGGAGCCAACTGTTTTATCCTTGGAACTGCTTTCATTATCAACATCAAATCTTGCAGTATCATCCATCATACTACTAGCCCGCTACCAACTGTAAAGCGAACTTTCCACAAATACACAAACAAAAAGTATGGGCACTGAACACAATAATGGCGCAGGGGCACAAGATGAAGAAGAGGACGATTACATGAACATGTCCTTTGACGACCCAACACCTGTAAAAGAGACATCCATACAGCGTACACAGCGATTGAAGCGTGAATCACGAGCACGTGGTGTCATCAAGTCGAAAGAGCAAATCGCAGAGGAAGAAGAGGCCGCACGTGAAAAGGCTCTTTCAACCTCACTGCTTGAAGATGCCAAGGCCAAAAAGAGCAAAGGACTCGCCATGATGGCCAAGATGGGGTTCACAGGCGGTGGGCTAGGAAAGAAGACAGAAGATGGGGCTGCTCCTGGACGGATCGAGCCTATCAAGGTCAGCGTGAAGGACGATCGTGGAGGTATTGGGTTGGATAATGAAAAGAAACGAAAAATCAGGGAAGCGGCTGAGGAGAGGGACATCAAGGCCGTTAAAATGGACACAGACGAGTATCGCGAACGTGTGAGAAAAGAGCGGGAGGATGCAAGGCTTGAGAAGCAGTTCTTTGCAGCCCAGCGCACGGCAGAGAGGATGGACGATGAAAAGACAGAAGTTTATGGCCCTGGTGCTTCACTGCCAGATTCTAAAGATGAAAAGGAAAAGTCAAGACCGATATCATCCCGACCTCTCAAGTCAATACCGATTATCTATCGTGGTCTAGTCAGACACAGAGAAGAAGTGGAACGCGACCGACGTATGCGCTACGATCTTGAGCAATCACTATCGCGACTACCAACATACGAAGACGACCAGGAAGATGCAGACGACAAGAGGGCACTGGGGAAGGGACGCACAGTGTATGCTACCGCTGAAGATCTCGACGAAGAAGACGAGGAGCTGGACCAGTTCAATGATCTAGACATTGGAGAGCGTTTGAAGAGCGTGTTGGAGTATCTGAGGGAGAAGCACCATTATTGTTTCTGGTGCAAAATGGTCTATCCTGATCCTGAGATGGAGGGTTGTCCAGGTTTGACCGAGGAGGATCATGATTAGCTGTGGCAATGCCGTGTCATGACCATTTTATGAGAAATAGATAGACACCTCGTGTCGTTTGAACCGATATTGCCACAACAGGAAACCTTGAAGACATAACTTTTTCTTATTATTATTTTTTAGTATAAAGGCTGTTTTTGCCTGGATATAAGACGTGCCACTTGCTTCAAGGCAATCTTTATTGTCTTCCTCGTTGCATTTTGCGACCATGTTAGATTCAGGTTGCATAACTGGCCTGGACTCGGCGAGTTGTCACCACAGAAACGCCTCAACAGAATTTCTCGATTCTTATCTCACTCAATCGCTGCTTCTCAACCATTGCCATGGCGCCTCAACAGATAAGCAGATAATGAGTAGATAGTTGGTGGGTCATGATAGGAGGATGTGAATACAAAGCTACTGATTCATCCTTAGACAAGCTCATAAGGTTCCTGTAGTTGCACGAGATATTGTCAATGGATTACTTATGGTCGTAAGCTTAAGGTAAAGCTGCTCAGCACAAGGCAAGAAACCTTCGGAATTGGTACTATGTTCCAACAACTATTCCACAAGTCCATAAAATTCATGGAATATACCTATCTTGAACGCTTTGCGTTCTTTCATCACTCGTCAAGTTCACTGCCTGAACTATCTCCCTTTCCATCTCAACCTACCAACCCAGTGAGCCCATCTTTGAACCTCCTCGTCGTCCAATAACAGCTCAACGGTGTAGTAGTCTCGTGCCAGCTCCTCGTGCGTTTTGAAGTGATGAACAAAGCGATGGCAGGCACCACACAGCCACGCCACATTCTGCAGATCTTCTTTACGGTGCCATCCTCGCTTAACAGCTTTTTCATGCACGAACCGTGGGATGAGGTGATGGTAAGACAGAGGAACCCAGGACCGGGCACATAGCTCGCACGCGTCAGCCCGAGTTGAACGTGTAGCGGGAGGTGGCTCGATGAGAGGAGTTATGTAAGAGGTGAGAATGGGAAGTAGGAATGACTCTGGGGAGGACGGAAGATGTGATGCAACATAGGGATCGGCAGAGATAAGGTTGTAAGTTGTGAGGGTCTCGATAACAGATGGTGGCAGGTTTAACAACAAAAGGCTGTCTTTTGTGAGTGGGAGAGAGTACTGCTCCTGCAACGCTTCGTCCTCTCGCCATGCCCTATACTCGAGGTCCTGCAACTCCTCTGGAAGATTGTCAAAGATCTCAGCCGCGAGATAGTCGACAAATTCAGCAAGTTCCTCGGCATCTTTCTCCGGGTCCGGAGCCGGGGCTGGGGTCGGGGTGGATGCAACGAGCGGAGCACCGGTGTTCTTACCACGCCGACGGCGCTTGGGCGGGTCCGGGGCCGAAGAGGCGGGCTGTAGGAGAGTGGTGGACAAACAGTCCCGAAAGAGGGCGTAGTTTTCAGGGTTGTTGTTGATGGCCGGCATTGTAGTTTGGGCGTGGTATTAAATGTAAGGTAGTTTGGTGCCACAGCCGATACAGAGAATAGGTAGTTAGGTAGGTAGTTAGTTCCGTGACGTAATTGATTTCCATCACAATCTTTTACTGTGGGAGATCACATATTTACATATTAATCCTTCCTGCTGTTCACTAGCTACTGGAATTTTGCGGAATAGTTTGGAAGCTGAAGGAGCTGTCTGAATATTGAGAGCTGTAGGCTTTCCTGATAGTATTGTGCCTAGTGAGCCACCGCCGGTTGAGTCATTCGGTGGAAGTGGCCAGCTCTTCACCCTGTAGTGCTTCGTAGAAACCATGTCGCGCCCTGTATCCTGAACACAACGAAGCGATGAGCTGGCGTTGCTGCATAGACATTATTGCAGTCATGACGCCGGGCGGTCTTATGCTGTCTGAACGGTTCCATCAGTGGACACACCACCGCGGCGAATTCAAGTCCGAGCCGAGCCAAGCGACTGGCCGGTCAAAACTCTGAGCCACTGGGTGAAACGGTGAAGAGCGAGGCTTTGTTTGGTGTCTCGAGTACAATAGTACACGTGGTCAAGCTTTGTTGTAAATGCATTGTTGATCGTCGACAAATGTATCAGCTGAAGACCCTGACTTGCAAAATGAAGGGCAAGCAACGCAGCATGCAGCGAACAAGCTTAAACTAAAACATCAAGTGAAGTAACGTTTGCGTTTCACTGATCTACGAGATTTTCAAACAACCTAGAAACATTCTTTCCATGATCGTGTATCAAAGAGCCTAATAATAGAGGGCAAGATGTTAAACGACCTGTGCAAGAGCCTGGGCATGGCTAAGCAAAAATAGTATCAAATAACCAGTAATGAAGTATAACCCGGTATACCAGCATATTTATTGTTCATCTATCCATAGTATCAAAACGTTGGAAACGCATAGAGATTACACTTTATTTATAATTCCCGCCTCTATTGTATTCATGGTTGAAACGGCCATGGACAATAGACCCGTTTCTTGAGCATAACAGAAAAGTACCCAGGCCTAGCCAGACAGCCAGGGAAGCCAGGGCAAAGTCAAACATAGGTAGTGGGCACTTATCAATGAAGACCCAGTTATCAGAAAATCGGCCCGCGGAGTCAGGATATTCTAGAAAGGAGAAAGAAAAGTCACGGCACTCGTATGTCATCATCCACGACAACAAACCAAGAATACGTCTGAGCGGAGTTATTAGGGCATGGATGTCAGGAGATGCGAGGAGATGTCACAAACAGCTTCAGGGCTCAGCAACTCTGTAAAGGGCTAGTGAGTGAGAATGTGACACCCTGATACAGTAGGTTATGCAGCCAATTCCAGTAATCAAAGGGCTAACATGGCTGGCTATTGCTTCAGCTCATATGAGAAAGGGCTGAATGAGAGTTGAGGCTCTGCGGCAGACGTAACATCCAGATCAAATATCAACATGCGATCTACACGAGATCTAATTTGCAATCTGAGTAACACCGAAAAGTATAGATTTCATCACCTGTTTCTTGCTCGCTACCCGGAAAAGGGCCGCCGTTGTCAGGAGACTTGTGGTGAGGGCATCCAGGGTTGTGTTTGATAGCACAGATTGTCCAACCAATGACGATTCCATGAAACCGTACGTGACGAGAGACGCAGCATGACATAACGGAGCGTTGCATCCGAGAGATGGAGAGAAAGACAGGGACAGAGGCAACGACAGATGAGATTGATATGGAAACGGCATAACGTGAGAGGGGGACGGAACCCGAACTGTTGAATTCGACCGAAGACTAAGCCGCAAGTCATGTTCGGTAGAGTCGGGAACACGTACGTACGTACATACATACACGCATGCATGCATGCATTGCATCTACACTGTTTATCAAATAAGGCGGTTACACAAGTGAATGAGAGAATCTGGGGGCCGCGTAGCTTCACCAGACTCTCAATTCTAGGCTCAATGAGGAGTCCAGGCTAAGGCAAGTCGCTGCAGAGGCTGATATGGAACTGCTTTACCCGCTCCGCTCACCTCCCTCCCCGCAAAGCACTGATGGAGGGCACAGAGTAGAAAAGTGAGTGGGGGTTTCCATGGAAAGCTCTGATGGTTGTCGAAAAAAACGATATTTTCTGGCCTGAAAAGTTGGAAGCGCGTAAGCCGCGGGAAGGACGGGAGACGATCCCATAATGGAGGGACAGAAGAGGGAGTCAGCCAAGAAGGGATCAGAGGGAGTAAAAGGCCCGAGTGACGAGAAAAGAATGCCTCCCAAGTTGGACCTGAGACAGGATAGGCCAAGCTCGATTGATTTGATATCAACAAACTTGGAACAGCTCGAGTATGGGAATCTTTGGATGTACAGTATGATGACACGTAGGGCAAGGTACAGCATCTTTGTTGAACCCTCTCATCTCAACTGACATCACATACAAGAGATGGGCAGACAGCTTTTGTTTGCCATGTGAAAGTTGCACTCTCAACAAGTTTCACGGGCCAAAAATACACAAAACACAAATCGAAGTTAGACATGAATAAAAAAAATACACTACCAACAGATACTGTACCTAAGCTTGTGCTTGTGCTTGTGCTGCCGCTAATCTTCAGGCGGCGACATGGGAAGTCCGATGCGCTGTCTCCACTGGCCATATCACTACAACAGCCAGCCACTGTCAAGACCAAGCTCAGTTGGGAATTACCCGATGCGTGGTCCCAGAGGCTCCTCTCGTGGGGGCCTGGAGCCCTGTCAATCGACCACCTTGCTATCATGAGTGACTTTATTGGGTAATCAACTACCTTGTCTTGAGGTAAGGCAAGGCAAGGCAAGGTAAGGCATCCAGGGACTAGGGTCTCGCTAAGGGTTCTCATCCACTTTGCTCTGCTGGGGCTGCTTCTCACCTCAGGTCACTTACACACCACAGGTCAGGAAACGGGGCCAACGGAGATGGGATGGCGTCTCTGGAAGGGGGACGGGAGGGGGGAGTCGGCGCTTCTTTTGTTTTAACTCTCTCTAGGTAGTCGAATGGATCTTTGCCCTTCATTGAAATAGTCTGGCATGTCCTTCCAGAAGCTGAGTCCTTCAATATTTGATCCATCATCTTTCTCCTTACCTTACCTACTACAACTATACACCACAGCCTACCTCGTCAACAACACCAACTCATATATCTACACAGCAGCTTCCATACACCTACTATATACTGTCGACGCAAGGCCAGACCAGCAACATGCATCCTTCCAAGTTGCTCACAAACCAGCCAAGCAAGGCCATCTACATTGATAGCATTGCCACACTCTCCGACCCTCTCTCCTCCATGTCTTCCACCTTCTCTCTTGTCTCTCTCCTCACCATGGCCTATCACATCCGAACACCGCTGCCCTCGAACCAGGAACGCCTTCTCACTCTCTTGAACACCATGTCGCCAGCCTTAAGAACAGAGACAGAATCCAGATACTCCCGCGAGGAGATCCTGAACTCCTTTGTCCACTTTCTCAGCCCCGTCCTCAACGGCATGGCAGGCATGCTTGAGCTTCTCACAAATGTCGACGCCTTCTCACGTCCAGAAGATTTCCGTCAATTCTGGAGCCTTGAAAGGAGCAATTTGATCAGAGACTTTGTGGAGAGTGGGGGACCGTTGCGGGGGATGCAGGGCTACGACGTCCCCTTTCTCGAGACCTTTGTGAAGGACCCCTCTTGCAGAATTGCTCTTGGTAGCAATAATGGCATGCTTTTGTTAGTCCCAGGAGACGCCGAGGTCGGCGATGATGTTTGGTGGGACGAAGACGAGCAGCGTCTCAGCGTCTCCAGGAAAGGCGCTGAAGACATCAACACCAATGCTGAAGCCTATCTTGACAATGGCTCCAGGATAACCATTATGGCTATTTCCTCTGCCACTTAAGGTTTGGCGATTTCGCACCTCATGACGACTTGACGATACATTTTGACGCTACTGATACGTACTCTTGGGATTTTTTTTTTAATTATTTGGTAGTTTTTTTTTTTTTTTTTTTTTTGGGAGAGGAGATTTGATATCCACAGCGGGATTTTTCACACATTTTTTTGGTTGTTTTGGAATTTGTAGGCAGCTAACTGCGCTTACTGGAGTACTATGGCGGCGTATGAGCGATGACAAACCTACCTTACCTCCCCAAGTGAAAATAGAGGTAGCATGCATAGAGCAGATCCATCGAGTTTATCTTTGATATGACAGTTGGAAATTTATCAAACTTTTATCATAAATGGCATGTGCAAGCGCATCCCACGTGCTTAAGCCACAGTTCTATGCCCACCTCAGTTAGTGTACCAGCCACACACTTCATACCTCCTCAGGTAGCCCACTTTTCTTGATGGCTGTCTTGCAGCTTGCAGATCTAGCTAGCCTACTAGCTCTCCCATCTCAGCTGCGTCATCTTGGCTGCCCTGCATCTTTTTTCAACTGCCTGTACCTTACCACAATGGCGTCGGACGAAGAGCCAGGAAGTAGGCCTAGCCGGAGGCGCCACGAGGACGAGGACAAAGAAATCAGAGACGATCACCGATCGAAATATTCAGAACGTGACTCCGGACGCCGAGAACGTCGTCGATCACGCGACCGACGCGAACGAAGACGGTCCCGGACACCAGAATCTTCACGGCGGAGGTCACGAAGCCGAGACCGTCAACGAGACACAAACCGTGAACATAGACGTCGAAGATCACGAGACGATAAGAGTTCAAGGCGAAGACGTGACGGTGATGACGGGGGGGATGACAGACGGGTTACAAAGCGAAGCCCCTTGAGGCGCACTGGCCCTTTGCCATCTCAGGCAGACTCTTTCGCCGTTACCACCGGCGAGGCTCCTGAGAAACCCAAGGAAAAGCCCAACTTCGGATCCACAGGCGTCTTGGCGGCGGCCTCGAATTCAGTGGCACAGGCGGACGGCACGGCAATTACACTCAAGTATCACGAGCCCTCCGAGGCGCGTAAGCCGTCGCCACGCGATGTATGGAAGTTGTTCGTTTTCAAAGGCCAGGATATTGTCGACACGATAGAGCTCAGCACGAGGAGCTGCTGGCTCATCGGGCGAGAAATGTCAGTTGTGGACTTGCCCGCGGAGCATCCCAGCATCAGCAAGCAGCACGCCGTGATTCAATTTCGCTATGTTGAGAAGAGGAACGAGTTTGGCGACAAAATTGGCAAAGTCAAGCCGTACCTCATCGATCTGGAGAGTGCCAATGGAACGGTTTTGAATGATAGCAAGATCCCAGATAGCAGATATTTGGAGCTCAGGGATAAGGATATGATCCAATTCGGACACAGCACGAGAGAGTATGTGATAATGCTTGCTCCACGAGATTGATCTCTACGAAAATGGAACGATGCACATTTGAGCATGTGGTGACCAGTCTCACTGGAGGTCCAAGGTTTAACCCCAAGATGGAATCATACGGCAAGTACATTCATGTCTGCCACAAATAAGAAACTCGGACCATATTCACACCAGCATTGAATGCAAGTGGGAAAAGAAACATGGTTCGATATGGCCATTCAAGGGTACACATACGAAGTCTAGAGCCAGGCCAACAGGCGTTCGGGGGCGATGTTCCCGTGGAGGAGAGGTCGATTCTTCTAACTTACTGAAAATGAGGCCACGGATCATGGAGGCTCTCGGGTGCCTCCCGAGCTTTCATTCAAGGTATCAAGGGGCTGAGCGATGACTCAACTGCGCAATGGCCTGGAAACCTCGTTGAGATTGGATGACTCTTGCGGCTGAAAGCAACTTGCTGGGGCCTGGATTCATATCGACTAGATCAATGAGCATTAGGCCTGAATCCGCCACATAAGGGTGGTTGGCCAAAAAACTAGGCTCTGAGCCAAAGGTCAGCCTGCTGCGAGTCTGGATGGGATTTTCCTCCGATCTGTATTCACAAATTGGGATTGCAGATCCTTGCATCGGCGCAAGGAGAATAACAGTTAGGATTTCAACTCAGATAGACTTCATGGAAGGCAAGAAAGGCGTTGGTTCTATATTTGTGTGTTATTCTAGAGCAGTGCTATTCCCATTGCTACTATGTATCATTTGGCGCTTTTTGTTTCTTATATTCCCTTGACATTGACAGAGTTAAACACCTGCGCGAACCAACTCGCCAAAGATAAATGACAAGCTGTGACGGCACTGCTATTAAACTTAAGATGAAGTTTAAGATGCTCTTGATAAGCTCATTTATACAAATACGTTGTAAGCAAATAGGGCCAGTATCTTCGATTTCTCCAGGTGCAGGACGAACCAGTTAATTATTGCGAATATGCCAACTTAGCCGATGGTTGAAACGAATTGTTCTACAATATAGTAGCAAGTGAACTCCAAGTTCGAATAACTAAATATGGTTTCTTATTACTAGTGCTGGTGTTTGCCGAGTCTGGCTTATTGCCTCCTGTCTGGTCACCCCTATATGGGCAAACAGCATTCAATCAGACTTATCCAAGCTAGGTATATAACACAAACCTGTGTAGATGAAACCCTACTAGAACCTAGCCTCATGATCTTCCAGTCACATCCTATGAAGATGCCTATCTTCTCTTATAACTCCATATAACTGCCAGATAACATAACTGGCAAAAAAGACATACATACAACAGCAGGTATTCGCTGGTCGTCACCGACCCAACTACTAATCCGCCCCTTATCAGCTTATCTATGGGGGAGCGGACGGGACCCCGAGTTCTCTGATAGGTATGGTCGTATGTGCTTAAGTGAGGGCATCGCCAGATCTATATGGCAATCAATATCATCCAGATTGTTTCACAGGGATAAACGGCATGTCCCTTCTGATATCACGACATGTGAAGAGCTTCTAACGAGGAAAAAAGCAAATAAATTCCAAGGGTATGCCTAAGTTACAGTAAAAGGTGGGCAGCTCTGTAGTCTTTACCAGCCACCATGGCCTGAAGCTCAAGACGGGAGGGTTTGAGTGTCTAGTCATATGCTGTTCGCAAGGACCATGTTACCTTTCAAGGCGGATATGAATCCTAAGAGCTTAGGATTCTAATAAACGATCGATAAAAAGTTTACTTGATTTATACAATATAAACATACTTAGTTCTAGAGCTACTCAATGCTTGAGGCATATCTCAATCTCGCAAAACCCATACTTTCCGTGGCTTGGATTCCTTTAACAATATCTATCCATGATGCTCACTACTCTGTACATCCATATTAACAGTATAGAACACGCCAGCACCCCTACCAATTGTATAGCGGCCCCCGGAAATGCCCCTACAAAAAAGGTCTTAGCTGAAACCCATTCGGCCAACGTGATAAAAAAAGCCCGACAGGCACCTTTCAGCTGGGTGAGAACTCAGCCACTGCCCCTGACACGGCCACGGACACGGACACACACCATTTGACTCAGCTTTCAATATCTACTGCTACCTGGAGTTTGGTATGAGTCTTGTGATGGGATGGCCCCCAATAGTTGAAGATGGCGCGTCTCACTCAGCCCGGCGATAAATAGAATAACAGGGTTGCAACTCACAGCCTCGGTGAGAGGAAATGATTGCTCACACTCGTCACTTGTTAGGCAGCGCAATTGTCGACAGCCTCGTTCTGATTCGAGCGGCCATTTATACGCCGATCAGCCGCACATTTCTTGCAAGGTTGCTTGCTTGCTTGCTTGCTTGACTTAGCTCTGTTCAGGGATTCCCCAATGTTTGGAACGACACCACGACCATCGAGCTTCCCCATTTTCGACGACACATCATGGTGAGTCTCACTGCTCGAACCTGTCGAGTCTCATTTACAGCGTGCGGCAGTTGACTGACAGTGGCCGAAATAGGGGTCCGAGAACCGTTCAGTAGCCCGCTACGAGACAACAGCAGTATACACTCATCCAGAGGCCAAAGTTGACATTGTTCTTGTCCATGGGCTCAATGGATCGCCCGACAAGACATGGACGGCCAAGAATGGAACTTTCTGGCCTCTGGACCTACTACCAGTCTCACTCAGAGGCGCACAGGCTAACATCCTGGTCTACGGCTACAATGCAGACGTCTATTCCAAAAAGAACAATCAAACAGCCAGCGACAGCTTCATTCACCAGCATGCGCAGAATCTCATAACAAATCTGACCCTCCATCGCCAAAGCGAAGGCACATTCAAGAACCCCATCATTTGGGTATGCCATAGCTTGGGGGGTATCCTCGTCAAACGAGCTCTCCTCTACTCATCTGATGTTCGCGAACCTCACCTTGAGCATTTCCGATCCATTTTCGTTTCGACCTTCGGCCTGGTCTTCTTGGGAACACCCCATGTTGGCTCAAATGCAGCTACTTGGGGTCTCATTCTTCAAGCCATGTCCGATGCAGTCATACCCAAGAGGTTTTTCGACTCTGAGTCGGTGCTTTTGAAGACTCTTAAGAAAGACAACGAAACCTTGGCGAACATCAACAGTCACTTTTTGGACATATATCAGCGCTTTGAGATTCATATGGTTCGCGAGAATCAGAAAACCGATATCAAGGGCCACAAGTATGCCGCCCTTGCCTCCTCGGAAGCTTGGTCACCTAGCTAACTTTTTATTATAGAATTTTTATTGTTGATGCCAACTCAGCTGGACCTCAGTTGCCTGGTGTCACTTACTACGGGATAGAGGCATCGCACTCCAACATGTGCAAGTTCGATGGCACCAACTCCCCGGGCTTTCGTAACATTGCTATCACTATACAGCAGTGGATTCAAAGGGCCCCATCTGCTACCCAAGAACGATGGCTTGCCGAAGAAGACGAGAGACGAGCCCGTGCCATGACAAGAGCAAATGAGATTATGTCGCCTTACACAAGTCAGACTCAGACACCTGTGCTGAGTCAAGATATATCATCGTTCAGAGGGAAGAAGCCAGTCCTGGAAGGATCATCTTTGGCGCTCCTCAATAGAGATGAATCAATCTTTGTTCACCCAGAACGCTTCCGCCCCAACTCGCTCTTTAGAGGTCGACAGCAAGAGCTGGAGGATCTTCATGCCATGCTCATGGACCGGCAGCGCAGAGACCAAGGTACTTCTGCTGTTCTCATATGGTCAGTTCCCGGGGGAGGAAAGACGCATCTCGCCAGGGAATATGCTTTCAAGCATCGTCATGACTACTCGTGCGGCGTCTTCTGGGTACGCACAAAGACTCCTGAAGATCTCGAAGATGGATTCTTGAGGATTGCCAAGCATGCCATGTCTCGGGCAGAAATCGGTATACAGGACGAGACAACCCTCCAGAATCCGAGCAAGGTGATCCCTTTGGTTCGAAACTGGCTTGATCGATCGGAGAACTGGCTCCTCATACTAGATGGAGCTCTATGTGACACCCCGAATCTGAAGAATTGTATACCCGATGCGAGAAACTCAAGCCTGATCCTAACGTCTACCGACACATCCATCGCAGGAGACCATCACTTTGATAATCCCCAGAAACTCGAACTCGGACCACTGGCTGACAATGATGCGCGTACGTTGCTGCTTGAGGATATGGACAAGAAGAAACCCTGGACTCAGGACGATCTCGACCGCGCTCTGGAAGTAGTTCGGTTGGTTGAAGGCCTGCCACTAGCCATCCATACCGCAGCTGGTCAGATGAAAGCTACCAAAGAGCCACTGGCAAAGTACATTCGATCTTACAAGAAGCGGCCCCGTACCGGCGGGTTGGGGGCTTACAAAGCTGTGCGAGAAAAGCTCAAGGAACGAGGGGAGACAGCGGCGCTTAACCTCATGTATCTACTCGCATTCTGGGGAGGACGGGTGCCGGTCGAGATGCTGTCACTTGGTATGTTATCATGCCCTCATCACTCCCGGAACGAAGCTAACTTGATAGGCCTTAAAGCACTTGATAAGCGCACTCCTGTGCGTACCCATGACTCGATGGGTAAGCGGAGTCTCAACAAGACATTCACCGTTCTCATAGCGTTTGCTCTCATCGAGCGTGACGAAATAGAAGATGTCCCATCGGTGAGCACGCCCGGCGAAACGATCCCTAGTTCAAGACCAATGGAGCCTCTCGACGTGCTCAAGATCCACGGTATCGTGCAAAGCTTCTTTCTTGAGGCCTTAAAGAAAGACGGGCAGTACAACTTTTGGCTTGAACGTGCTGCCGCTGTTTTCCTCGAGTCTTTCGACCGGGGAGATAGCCGTGCCAAGAACAACAAGGAGATGGGCATTCCAGATGACTATCGAAGGTTCGCCACCCAGTGCCGAAGGATTTTGAAGCATCTTGAAGAGGTCGATAGGCCGAGTCTAGAACTCATGTCCGTTGAGCAAGCCTTGCAAGGCCGGTTCGAGGATATGCAGGTCAAGATTCGCACCTTGGCACGCTCAATGACCACAGACTCTGAAGGGAGATGGGTTCGGGGACCTTATGTGTCTGTATTTGAGAAAAGCAACAGTGCTTCTCTGTCAAGCTCATTTACCACTCCGGATGACGACAACATCGAGGAAGACAAGCAAGCCCCTTGGGACTTGCGCACTAGTTTCCCTTCTCTGGAAGCAGACAACGATGCCCCATACCCTTACGATAGTACAATGCCCGTACCGGTGTTCTATGAGGATGACGATACTCTTATGGGGAGCGTGGTCTCTCAGCAACGGCCCGCAGAAAGGCGTTCAAGTGGCAACAGCCCAAGGGTGTCTGAGCGTGACCTGAATGAGAGTTGGACTTTGATCAAGGAACCAAGTGTCCCTCGATCGAGGCCACTCTTTGAGCCTGCTGAGCGCGTCATAAGGCCGACAGTCAGAGGCCAGAGCGTGGGGGCTATTCCTCGACCAGACTCTCACCCTCGAGAGATAAATCGTGAGCGTGCTGAAGAAAACCCGTTCATGGGTTCAGGAGATGGCACGATCCCAACTATGGAGATTGCCAACGCAGACTGGCTCACCCATGATCGCATAACAGACCGCCCACGCGCAAGTCATTCGGATACATCTCTCGATGCAGATATTGACCACTGGGCACTGGGCCTGCCTATCACTAGTCACTCAGTGAGCAGCCTCAGACCTATATCTCATCATCAGCAACCAGCATCTAGTCATCGTCGTACTCTGTCTACTGGAGAGGTTTTGTCATCGTCGTTGCCAAATAGCCTTGCAAGCAGCACCCTTCGGCCGCCCTCGTCAGGACCTGAAAGTCAGTCTTCTCAGCCCATGTCACGAAACTCTTCCTCCAGATCAGATCAACCTGTCTCGGTTAACCCTGCTGTTCCCAGGTGGGCACGACGTGTACCATCGGCCACAGCCACAGAGCCCTCGCCACGACATATCACAAATAGTCCTGACAATACCTCTTCGGGGTATCAATCATGGCAGATGAGGCAATCAGGGCCCTGGAATGCTGAAGGGGCTTCTAGGAGGGAAATCACCTCGAGCCCTAGACCAGAGGTGGAGGCGGATGGCGCGGACATGGTGAGATCAGGTTCCGGAGGGATTCAGTTCCACGGTCGCATTATTGAATTTGGAAGATTACAGCCAGCAAATGCGCAACCAGTCTATCCATTAGAAATCAGCGAGTCGACTCACGCTCTGGAGAGCCAGGCTACCACCCGAAGAAGACGGAACACAAATAGCCAACCTCCTGGTTATCCCCGACCAGATACATCACGATAAGAGGTCGGGAGAATTTCATGGACAAAATGCCCTAGATGTAGCCAAATATGTACTATATGATGTATCAAAAATAAGAAGCAGATTTGAAAGACAGCGTTACGAGGATGTGTTTTTAACTAATAACAATATCATCATGACTGACCTTTGGGTATGTTGTTCATACAAGTATACTGGCTGCGGCACTTCTCAATGCTTCGACTCTTCTTTATCTCCTTTATCTGTTATGTTTTGTCCTCCCATGCTCATAGAGTTGCTGTTCTAGGCACACCGTTCTCGGAGACAAGCATTGGGGGTAATTCTACAGGACTCCGACCATTTCTGTAACTCCACAAACGGCTCACATCCTTGACACGGATTCCGTGATCATCACTAGTCTCCTTGATTGTGTTTGAGATCCCATGAACCTCAATTGGCGTTGAAGCATCGCCAGATCCAAATCCCTGCGTTCCAGCCCATGATATTTCGAAGGCTTCTCTCGCGTTGGCAGAGGCGCTGCCTTCTTCGCCGACCTTGATGGCCTCATTCATGAACTCATTGTCTTCATCAGCGCCCACATACCCTCCAGTCTCAGCATCCTTCTTCAAAGGGAACATGGCGTTTAGGTAATGCTGATTCATCTGGTGGCCACCGTGGCGGCCGTCTGCTCGAGAGAACAATCGCCCCTGAAACCGTGGGAGTTCTCGCGATTCCATCCTGTTTGTTGCAAAATGCAGTATGCCCCATATGGCAACAAAATCTGTACTATTGGCATAGTGCTCCACGTGCAAGATACACCTGTCTTTGGCAGCGGAAATAGATCGAGTCGACACACCAGAGGATTCCTTCCTAACCGGATTACGAGCCTTTAGGGCCAGGTCATCCTTAGCTTCGAGTGGGCTGCTAGAAGGAGAGTCGAAAGAGGACTCGGTAAGAACAGTGCTCATCGCAGATAGGGGCTTGAGACGAGCCAGCATCTGCGAAGACCGATGGCGATGGGGATTGTTGAAGTGATTGGCAGCGTTCCCAAAGGTATAGACCTCGAGTTTAGACATTAGATCTTGTGGCAGCTCCTGGAGCAACCAATCGAGAACCAGGCCCCCCTCGATTCCTCCTTGGGAGTGTAGCACGAAGATGACTTTGGACTTGCTTTCATCATAGAGGATGTCTTTGAGTAGTCTGAAACAAATTCTGACATCCCCAGTTGCGTAGCCAAAATTGCGCTGTATCAGACATTCAACGACATCAAATATTATTCCGCGAGTCTGGTTATGTATGCCAAGAATAGGCCGGCCAAAAGTCAGTGCAAGTCGGTTCAAGTTTGACTGCATCCAATGTTCTCTATGGATCTTGTCAGTGGGCAATACCATGTTTTAGCTCAAGAACGCCATACCCAACAGCAACGCCGTTCAAGAAAACCCATTGTTCGTGGGCGTGCTCAGGCCGAGCCTTGGCGTACTTTTCATCCGAGGTATAAGTTTCCTTGCTACCATTGAGAAGCTTACAGATGAGCCAGTTGGTAAACATGAAACCAGCGATACCTGTTGCGGCCATCCAGACTGGAAACACAATAGAGAATGGCAGGGCTATGATGAACCCCAGCTGCAGGAAGAAGAGAACCAGGTGGACGACAACGCAGAACACGTTCTGAGGGGATGGATAGAGCTCATCAAAAACCTTGCATTTGAAGGGATAGACGGGCCAGATGACCCATGGAAGTGCCCATACATAGACAAAGAAATAGTATACGTCCTTGGCGAGAAGCTTGAAGGGAAAGTCGGTATGAGAGTAGTCGATGACGGACTCTTCGCCGATCTGGGAGCGATAGTACTGAGTTGCACCCATAGTGGTGATGCTATGGATGGATGTATGTGAGGTTTTAGTAGGTATTCATTGAGAATCGAAATAGGGGGTAGTTGTTGGAAGTAGTAGGCACGTTGACGTTGGGAGACTCGAGGTGTTGGCCTGTCCTTTGTTCACCTAAGTAGGTAGATAGGTAGGTAGCTACCTTCTGTACCTCGGTATTTTAGTAGGCAGGCAGGCTCTTAGATATGAGCCCGAGTACTTAAGTACCTTAGGTATGGAAGCAAGACAACTGACGTTGTGAGCTACTGTCGCGTGACGAAAAGTAAAGAAGGACGAGCAGGTGCTTCACATGCAACAAGACTGCTGACGGTCTAGGAAGCAAAAGAACCCTAGCTACCTAGGTAGTGGTCTATATATTTACACAAGGATGTGTATGGAGGCGGACTGGCAACTAAAACGCTCAGCCTTGTTCCATGTCGACACCCTCATCCCCAGATTTGGCCCAGGCAACGACGAGTAAGAGGCCGAATTACCATGTCAGATGCCCCCGGTTGACGATGAAGAATTGGATGCGACGTCATCACACCAACTTGGCGCTGGGATCGCTGAGGCTTAGTGGGCTCGGCAGCCAGGGCGTGGCATGCTCACTGGAGCCAAGGCGGCAAGGCTTGGGCTGTGAGCGTTATAGTGTCAAGTCGTGAATATGGATTCTACCAAGTGTAGAAGAGAAGATTGAAATTTAAATTCTAGACGTCTACTGTTATTGTACAAGACAAGGCCGTTGAAGATGTGGCGGTCAATGGGATTGTTTCAGTCGGGTGCCTAGGTAGAGAGGTAAGGTAGTTACTCTACTAATACGATCCCAGTATCGTGGCCGGGGGTTCATTAACGGGACCTACCTTACTGTCTACTGCAAGTTTGTAGGGTAGCTGCACCATAACTTAGTACCTTGCCTATCTGAACTTCTAGTACTTACTGAAGCCAAGTCGCAGGATCATAAGTTTTGAACTTGCACTTTGAGGATATTAGTATTTACAGAAGGGATACTAATGCATCAAGACGATGTAGTAGGCTTATTTGAGGTGCAGTTGAATCACTAAATGAACTATAGGCAGACAGCAATGACAATGCCTTGTTGGACCAAAGCCCATTGCTGATTCTCTCAAAAATACGTTGTCTCAGTCTCATCCACAATTTGCACCTTGATGCACCCATTCTTAGGGTCTGCCGATAAAGACAAACCCTCCAGAGCCTGTTCCAGAGGGAAAACATGCGATACCAACTTCTTCGCATCTATCAAGCCCCCCTCAATACACGCAATACCCGCTGGCCAGGTGTCCTTGTATCTGTTGATGAATCGAAGTTGAATCTGTAAACTATCATCAGTGTCACATCTCGCCACCAACAGTCTTGATTACATACCTCGGCAAGAGACAAATGCATAAAAGGCAGATTGTTCATAATCGACCTGCCAACACCGACAACCATGAGAACACCTCCACGACGTACCATATACGCAGCGGAGCATACACTGCTTTCGATACCGGTACATTCAAACACAACCCTAGGCTGAACATACTCTGTTTCACCAAAGAGCTTCCTCACAGCCTTCCCATTCTGCTCGTTGCTCTTGCTAATGTCAACCTGATACGCAATAGCGGTGGGAACGAACTCCTTTGCAAAAGCCAGTCGTTTGGGTTCAACATCGGTGATGACCAGGGGATGGGCCCCAGAAGCTCGCGCGGCGGCGAGGGCAAGAAGACCAATAGGGCCAGCACCACAGATCACAGCAGGCGTTCCGAGTGTGATCGGGGCGGAGTTTATGCCGTGGAGGACGACACTCAGGGGCTCGAGAAGGGCGCCCTCGGCGAAGGAGACACTATCGGGAAGTCTGAAAGCCATTAGTTCCTCAATGCTTCCACCCTTTGGAATTCCACTTTGTCATACTTATGAAGCCATTTGGCAGGATGAACCTTGTATCGCTGCAGAGTTCCTGCATAAGGGTAGACCCCGGAGAACTGCACATCTTCACAGAGATTGTATCGGCCGTCTTTACACAGAAAGCAATGACCGCAAGGAACACCAGGCTCAACAGCCACACGGTCGCCTAGACATTCGTATAAGTAGCAATACTCCATTCTCTTCATTTTTTGCTTACCCGGTTGGAGATCTGCAACATCCTCACCAACACGAATCACAACACCAGCGGCCTCATGTCCAATGATGCAATCACCCTCAAATACAAGGGAACCTATACATCCTGTTTTCCAAAAATGAACATCAGAACTGTCCACATAATCAGCGACCAATCTTTTGCTACTGGCAACTCCATATCTCACCCGCAAATACCGGTGGCCTTGATGTGAACAAGAACCTCGCCGGACTTGGGTGCATACACAGGCGCGTCGACTCTTTTCAAGTTGTGATCTGCCGTGACCTGCAAGGATGGGTTCGGTAGGGGAGCCTTGAGAGTTTTCGTATCGCTAGAATAGCCGTTGAGCTTGACCTTGAGCTCATCAACAATCGGTGCTACATCATGGGTGAGGGGTTGTGAGGCTGCCAGCGAACACATGGTGATGGGACGAAGCGAGAAGAATAGTTTAAGGAGAAGAAAGATTCAGGGAGGACTGTGAAACGAAGAAGTAGTGACAAAGGTATCAGGTGAGAAAAGAAAGGCCATCGTTGTCTCATTCCACCCCGTTTTACTCGCATACAACATTGCCCGTGTAGCAGATGGTACTCTGCTCTACAGGACATTACAGGCTTCGAGGTTATCATCTCCCCACTTCTCCACCCAAAGGTTACCTAGTGGAGGGCTTAAAATTGCCTGTTCTGGACGTCGTCAACAACCATTCAAACCTCTATTCGCCATGGTACATAGATCGATTTTTATAATGCCCCATTTATGCATTTTCTGAAGCGCCCAAGGCGAGCCAAACCATAGGCTTCGTGGCTGTTAAGTATATGCCACCTGGGTACCTACCTAGGTAGTTATTGAAATCATGTACACAAAAATCCAACAATACACTATTCTCTAACGACATGTAGAACTGACTGCTGAAATCATGACCACTAGATATACCGTTCCTCAAGCCTAAAAGCACAAGTGCATAAAGGCGAAGCCTACTCAAACACTCGGCGTTCTCAATCTGGCTGCCACTCATGCATGAGTTGAGCTGATAATGAGTTCACGTTCCATCCTGTCAACGAACCAATGCGATCAATTCCACGCAGAATAGCATGCTGCTGGGGTTCATAGGTCATCCGCTTAGCAGCAAAATAAAAAGACGCCAGCAAGCTAAAGTCCCAGTTGGTCCGCGTGTCATTATTCAGGCTGATACCACAGATTCGCTGAGCATGCCATAGCGGTGATAGATAGATGTTTCGGCCATGCTCCTTCGGGAGGGTACGTGGCCGATTCAGTAGAAGCAACAGCATCGATGTATGGTACAGCTGGTTCGCCAAGACTGCTGCCCCATTGGTAAAGAGCACCAGAGGGAAGAGTTGTTCGCCGTCTTCAGTCTCGAGCATGGGTTTGAAGTCCGGGGGGCGGGTTGAGTACCACTTATGAAGAGCTTCAGAAAGTCCTTTCCATTTGTGGGCGGCTGGAAGGCGGATCGTGTCAGGATCAGTCTGAATATCACCCCCGAAGCAATAATTGAGGACCTCGCCACACAAAAGAACAGGCTCTCGCCCGCATCTGTGTGGTTCTCTACTCAGAATGCCCATAGGTGAAGAAACTTCGCGAGAGACGATGGAGGGTATAGGGACTGAAGAGCCGTTCATGAGACCGACAGAAACACCTGAACTAGTGAGCAGTTGCCTTCAAATTTATGAGATGAACGAACCCAGGCGTAGGATCATCCAAGACACAGCTAGCGCGGCGGCGGGGTGATGTAATTGGAAAGGAGTCGAGTTGATTGTCTCATAGCCTGTACTCTTTGATGGGCTTAACCAGGAGGTTGGCTGTGTGGCGAACTGTCGACGGACGGTGGTAAAGGTGAAGACCAGGACGCGGCAAAGAATTTCGATGCTGGAAGTGCTTGTATCAGGTAACAAGGGTTGCTCATTTAGATCGAGTTGGGTACCATCTCCAAGAGTTTCCAAAGTAAGGGAGAGGACAGAGTCGAGAACAGAAATAGAGTCCATAGCAACGCGTGGGACAAACAACCCAAATGTCTGGTCAGGATCGCTGATATCAAGCTGTGAGATATGTTAGATTGCTCCTAGAGACAAGAGGGGACAACTTCACCCAAGGCGCAATATTGTATCTGTAATGTCGTAGTAGCTCAACAGCACGATCCTGTGCCATATGAAGACAATTGGGGAAAACATCTTCACGAGGCTGATCTCTCACTTCGAGTTGCACATTCTGTGGAAGTTGTCCAAACAGTCCCCCATTGGTGCCGGTTTGAGACACTGTAGGTGCTGAAGGGGATACATAGTGATCGTTACCAAGAGCGAGGAGTCCGTCGAGGGCAGTTTCATACGCTGCATTGGAGGGTGAAATGACGAGATTGAAGTCTACAGAGTCTTGTAGACTATGAGGAGGGGCTTGAGGAGATGTGACATAAGTTTCGATGCTGGGACTGATTATCGCTGGCGACGGAAGCAGAGCAGGCGGGTCAGGTGGGTTTGTTTGTTGAATCTTGTGCGTAGCAACAGTTGTGTCTACCTCTATAGATGAACACTCTGTCTTCTCAGCCTCGCTCAAGGTGGATTCGTTATGATGTGCATGTATACCAGACTTCGTTGCTGTTTCTGGCACAACAAACTAATTCTTATGTGAGTGGACATGGATCAATTGAAGTCCTTGATCAACATACCCTCAGCTTAGCATACGATTGTTTTGCGTTACGGGGACCCGAAGACGTCTTCGCATTCTTTTGAAGAAACGACAGCTTGGTTCCATATTGACACTCGAACCCTCCATCAACGCAACGTTGACACGAAGGTTTCCCTTCATCGCCTAAGGTAGAATTAGTAAGTGTCCATTATGACATTTACACAGATCGTTGACTTACACTTCCGTCTTCGTACCCTGCACTTGAAACACCCTGTCCTCGTTCTCTTCATGCGGGTCTTTGCCTCAGTCTCAACGTCTCCCATGGCATTTACAGTGTTTACATGAAAAAGACTGCAACTCCAAAGTGGGAAAGTTGAAGCCTTTACGTGGGGTGGGACCTGGGGAGATGGGGTATGACATGGGGTTTTCGGAGCCGACCTTGACTCGTTAGCTTCAGAAATATTACCAAATGAGGAATAACTAAGCGTCGGGAAGTGGCAGGGATTATGCTACTGTTTATGACTTGCGATAGTACTGAACTAGGTAGTAAGTTTGATATTATCATGACAGATGTCTCGAGTTATTCGTCAAGCGGAGACTGGAGGCCAAAATGGATAAGAGAGCAGCCCAAGACGCTCTCTACAGGTCTCACTCCCTCATTTTTTTCTATTTCCTAATTTAACTGTCACATCTTTAATCGTGGTTGGACTACTCACATCCAACATAATGGCTCCCTCTACCGTCAAACTCGCATCTGGCCATGAAATGCCCTTGGTTGGCTTTGGCCTCTGGAAGGTTCCCGCCGACCAAGCAGCTGAGACCGTCTACAACGTGAGAACTCGTGTTTGTTCACCATCAACTGTGTTGACAACAGTATAGGCCATCAAGTCTGGATACAGACTCTTCGACGGAGCATACGATTACCAGAACGAAAAGGAAGCAGGCCAAGGTATCCAGCGCGCTATCAAGGAAGGACTTGTGAAGCGTGAGGACATCTTTGTCACCACGAAGCTTTGGAATAACTACCATGCGAAAGAACATGCCCTTGCCTTTGCCCAATCCCAGAATGAGGCGTGGGGTCTTGGATATATCGATTTGTATCTCATCCACTTCCCGGTCGCCCTCGAGTATATTGAGCCTGAGAAACGACGCTATCCTGTACGCTGAATCTGAATTCTTCTTGTGCATGTTCGTTAATATTTGTCTAGGCCTGGTGGATGGATGATCAGGGTACTGTCAAGCCGGCTAACGTTCCCATTCGTGAAACATGGGAGGCGCTCGAGGAAGTTGTCGACCAAGGGATCGCCAAGTCCATCGGCGTGTCGAACTTCCAGGCCCAGTCCCTCTATGATGTCCAACGTTACGCGCGTCACCCTATATCCTCTCTGCAGATCGAACACCATCCCTACCTTGTCCAGCCAGACCTCATTGCCATGGCTCAAGAGAACAACATCGCTGTCACAGCATACTCATCATTTGGACCCCAGAGCTTTAAAGAGCTCCCCGGTATCTTCTCTAAGAGAGCCCATGGTGCCGAGCCTCTTCTTGAGTCCAGTCTCATCAAGGGCATTGCTGGAAAATATGGTAAGACTCCTGCTCAGGTTCTGCTACGGTGGGCGACGCAGCGCAACATTGCTGTCATTCCCAAGTCAAACAACCCCAGTCGCCTGGCGCAGAATCTGGATGTTGTGAGTTTCGGCCTTTCTCGAGAAGAGATTGAGAGCATATCTGCTCTGGACCGCGGGCTAAGGTTCAATGATCCTGGCTTCTATCTTCCTAACTTTCCTCTCCGTATCTTTGCTTAAGCTAGGGACCGGGTGATGTAATGAAGCTATAGGATGAAATCAATGATCTGGATTTTAAATAAATGAGACTCATTACTTATTACTTACTCGATGCCCCTTTCGTTCACTGGTGATGGTATCACCTTGAACCGTTTTCCGTGATTTATTTCTACAGTAGTGAAGAGAGGAGACGGTAAAATCTCATCTAACCTTGTAACCCCATGCATGTTCGAGGTCGGCTATGCGCCAATTAGTTGCCCACCCCGTCATCGCCTCTATGCTCAGGATCAACTTGGAAAGAAGCAAATGTTCTGACTTGTGACTGAGAAGTCTCCCTGCAATCCAAAGTGGCTGGATGGCATTATTGAGGCAACCTTGATGGGGGTTGGTCAAGGAAATGCCACATATACATTTAGCATGCCAGATGGAAGATCCTGTCGGTCCCACGTCGAGCTTGACCTCCCGAGGTTTCGATCCTAGCAACAACGTGCAGGCTGTGTGATAAAGCTGATTAGATGAGATCCCCGCCCAGTGAACAAAGAGGATCTGAGGAAATGGTCGGCTTTCAATGAATTGGACAGGAACCACTTCTGCCGGCCGGTCCTCCAACCAAGATTGAAGATCGTGCCAGAGTCGTAGCCACCGTCTTTCAAAGGTTGCAGAATCGCAACCATTGTTCTCCCCAAGCTCGACATAGTGAGTGCGGTCAGCAACGAGCTCACAGACTTTAGAGCAGAGATACACTGAGTAGTTGGCGTGCATATCTGGCGAGCGGTGGTCTTGAAAGATGTCAGCGGCGGAGTTTGGATCTGAGCCGGGAGGTAGCCATTTGTCCAGTGGTACCAGTGTGCCTTGAGTTCCATCAGAAATGAGCGCACCACATAGATCTAAAACAGAGTCAATAATGACACCGGCTGATTGAGAAACTTTGAGAGGGATAACACAAACCCATTCTTGCATAGCACCAAAAGACGGCTTGAAGGAGGCCGCCACTGAAACCGT